TTGGGTCTAAGGAAAGGTGCAAACTCTCAATTTTGGGGTTTTCTGGCCACTAAGGTGATCGACTAGGCCAGAGGAGGCAGCTAGTTGGCTCATGGAGGTCAGGGTAAGGTTCAATTGTGATTAGGCTTGGGGCTTGATGGCTGATGACATGGGTAAGAGAGTTAACAATTTCTAGGTGAGGGGTTTCCATGATTCAAGGGACCCTTGGTCCATGGCCCAAAAGGCTAGGATTGAGGTGAACAAATCATAAGCATAGGATGGGCTGGGATAATTAGGGTTTAATTAAATCAAAGGGTTAGGGGAAAGCTTAGTTTTAGGTTTAAAAATGGGGTTTGAGCTTGACCATGGACTTTAGACTTGGCTTGGGCTTGGATCTAGACCAATTGCTGGTTCAATTCGGCTTAGGGGAATGCCATGAAGGATTTGAGAATCAAATTTTGTTGGATTTGAATGATTACATGGCTCAATTTGGTGGAATTTGGAAGTGGGATAAATTTGGCACATTTGATTTGAGCTTGGAGTTTGTGCTTGAAATTGGGTCTAATTGGGTTGGGATTTGGTTCTTATTGGACTTGAAAATGATGAATTTTGGTTTGGATTTAAAATTGTGGGAGTTTGAAATGAATTATATGGGAATTGGAGGTGATATGGGGACTTTGGGCATTTAAGGGCAATTTGGGGATTTTGGTCAATTTTGTTGATTTGGATGCAATTGGGGTTATTGAGTGGTTAGGATTGATTTTGGGGATGCTTGGAGTGAATTTAGAGGTTTTTGGGAATTTTTTGGGCATGAGGGGCATTTTGATAATTTTGGGTGATATAAAGGTATTTTAAGAATTTTGGGAAATTGGGGTATTTTGGAAAATTTGGAATGGTTTAGAGTAATTCAATATGATTTTTAGTGAGAATTTGCAAATTTGGGTAATTTTGGAAATTTTAGGGTTCTAGGGGTATTTTGGTAATTTTGGAGAAGTTTGGGGGTAAAAGGCCAAACTTGGTTGTTTTGGTGGAATTGAAGCTCATTGGTTATGTTGATCATGAAATCACTCTTCTTGTGTCATGAGATCAATGGGAGAGCTCATTTTGGATCCTCCATATGTTGGTCCTAGCCACCTTAGCCAACACCAAAAGGCTTGGGGCCACCCATATGAGTTTCCAAAAAAGTGGGGGGATAGGTCAAGTGCAATGTGATTTTAGGGTTTTGGGTGTGTGAGGTTGTGATGAGCTTGTGTGTGTGTGAGGTTGTGAACAAGATTAAGTCACCCAGGGTTGTCCTAAGGCCTAAAAAAAATTATTGAAGCTCATTCTTGAGTCTCCACAGGTTGTTCTTGACCATCTTAAATGACATTTAGGGGCTTGTGGCCTCCCAAATGAGGCTTCACAAGAGGAGTAAAGAAGTGATTGGAATTTTTATCTGGGAGGGCTCCATTTGCTAAGTCCTCTAGGATACTCAACAGAAAAATCCTATGGCTAGATTATAGGCTTCAAAAGAAGAGAAACTATACCTCATCAGAAATTAAGTCAACAATCACCTAACAAAAAGTGTTCTAACAAGCATCTAAATGCTCAAGATAAGTCTCTGGATATGTATGATTTTGATGTAAAAGCATACATGCATGGAAGTGGTTGGTCGACTGGGTCGTGGTGGCAGGCCAGACCGAGAAAGCGAGTGGATCGATCCAGAGTAATCGATTTGAACCCAAAGGAGTGGGTGATAGCTTAAGACAACCAATCGAACTCAAGATAGGTGATCGACATGTAGCGATTGACAAACCCAAAATATAGGGTGATCGGCTCAGGACGATTGATCGTACCCAAAAGTGGATTAGGGATCAGTCTAGAACGACCGCTCAACTTGAAGTACTCAAACGATCATGCATGCAACATGCAATATGATCCACAGGCCAGAGAAATCCAATAACAAACATGCATATGCAATGCAATCCAAAGGTCGCTCGACGACACATCGAACTAGACCTAACGACCTCACATTGGTACCTAGGGTTGACACACCGACAACCATCTCACAGGCGCTCTGAAGATTTATTATGAGGAGCCAAGAACTGACTATAATATAATCACATAGGGCATCTCGAAGGATAGCCTCTTCAAGGAGCGAGTTGCCTATTTAACTATGGTGAATCATCCCCTGCTTAATAATCTAGCCTTGCTCTCTCAATAAGGATTCCTCATCTGTGGATCGATAATCAACAACCATACTAGAATAGCTGATTAGCAAAACCAAGCCGGCCGAGTCAAGTTTTATCGACTAGAGACCATTAACAGCCAACCGACACCCAATTCAAAATAGTCGGATGAATAGGTCTTGTAGAGCCAAAACCAACTGATTTCAGCTAACTGAGTCTTATGCTAGCCAAGCCAAAGACCCATACATGTAAAATACATAAAATATTCTATAACACCCCCATTAATAAAGGGATTATTTCATTAGAAAAGATTAATCAACAATTCAAATAACTAGCTATTTTTGTGCACTTCCCTATCATCTTTCACTCTCTCTCTCTCTCTCTCTCTTGTTTTATGCTCTATTTATTGGATGTGATTCATGAATAAGTCTGAATTCAACAATTATGGAATATTTACATACATACCACTCAATGCCTAAGTTTTAATTGTTGTATATATGCCATCTTATAATCCTATACCCCCACATAGGCCGCGTACCCGATTCTGTCGGTTGGCATCCACAGTATAAGTCTTCTCAGGTCGGGGGTTCGAATCTCCTTTGGCACAGTTTGGCCTTAAGGAGGTGATACTCGAATTGTTAGGCACATTAGGAGTGACTGGAGGCTCGTATGATAACCTCTGAGCATTCGTTTAACTATATATATATATATATATTATAGAAGCAAAAAAGAAATGATATTTTTTATTTGATATCACAAAATTGAGTGATATAAATGTAAGAAAATAAAATTTAGGTGTCAAATATAGGGGTGTAAAAGTGCAGAGCTTGAGCGAGCCCAAGCTTTGTTCGTCTTTAGCTCGTTAAAGAATACCACTTTTCCTGTTCGACTCGTTTGCTTAACAAGCCGAACACGAGCTGTTCCTGAACAACGAGTCATCTTGAAAACTTTAGTCACTAGTCTTAGAATGTTAGAGGTAAGGGCGATATTTAAATCTTATTGTTTAAATTAAGATATTCATTTAAATATAATTTAGTATATATTAGTTTTATTTTTTAATTAATAATTATACATGATTATAAATCTTTGTAGTCTTATCGCCAATTAAATTATTTTAAAATAATACTCATCAATATATATTTAATTATTTCAAGTCAAAATGAGTCGTACACAAGAGAACAAAATTTATTTGTGTTCGGCTCGTTTATATATCGAGTGCAAAAAAAATTGTTCGTATGAATTGAACCCGAGCTATTTAACGAATCGAATACGAGCTCTTCGTGGACAAGGAACAGTTTTGAGAGCCCTGATCACATAAACACATAAGAATGAATTGGTCTGTATCTAAATGCCTCTTATATTAAATACTAATTATAAACAAGAAATATAATCACTGCTTCTAAAAAGCACAACAATAAATGAGAGTAACAATAGTGACAGAACTTAATTTTTTGATCGAATTAGCCGAATTGGAAATAAGACAACATTACGATCAGCCTTCGACATGGATAGATAGCGGGCAACCGCTTTTTTATGCATTTACAAGCAACTAGCCATGCCACGTCAGCCACTGCCTCGGTTGATAACTTTCGACCACCCATTTGGTAGATAAAACATAAGACTCCCCAACTGTTTCTGCTTCATATCTCTCCACGTAAGCAGCATTTATAGATAGATGTACCGCAAGAACTACTTAGTAAATAAATGACTTTGAAGAATTGAGGATTAATAGTTGGAGTTTTACATATCTACCACACAATTTTTATGTATTTATATATCTAACGCCAAGATATTCATATTTACATGTGTATTACTTAAATATTTAATATCACATCAAACATATTACAATCATTATCTTTTAAAAGATGAAATATATATTTCATGTGTAAGCTTATCACATCAAAATATTATAAAAAATAAATATCAAGCTTTTGGTGGTAGATATGTAAAAACATAAAAAATGTGCGGTATGTATATTATTTTTCCTGAAAAACTAATGATATTGAGGGCATTACTGAAGAAAATGTCCACTGGACCATTATCTCAATATTTAATTATATATGTTTAGGAAGATATACATATATAGCATTATGCATATGTTTTTATATATATATAATATCTACATGTATAACATTTAATATTAATCTTTACATACTACTTTAATGTAGTTCATTTAAAAAAAATAAAATAAAATGATAATATTTTTGATGTGTTATGAATGAGAGTATTAATGTATAAAAGTAAATTTTAGGCATTAGATATGTAAATACATAGGTTGGTCGGTTTGTATTTAAATGCCTCATAATTTTATTGTTTTGATACATGTTTAAATGTAATCGTAAATTTTTAAGAAAATGTTATAAATAACAAAGTTTTCTTCTACCTAAGAAAATAATATACATACATTCATATATATATATATATCTACTTGGTTGGGTATCTGCTGTAGTCATGATATGTTGGTAGAGTAGCGTCTTTGAAGATTGTAACTCCTCCGGTTACGAGTTCGAATCTCTCTCTGATCAGTTTGCCAGCACTGAGAACAACAATTGAATAGTTAGATATATGAGAATGGTTGGAGGCTCGAATAATAACCTCCAATCATATATATATATAT